TAACGAGATATTTTTGACCACTTACAACTCAGTAAATTAAAACTAACACCTACTATCAAAACGAAAGATAATAGACTTTTTTCTAAAGAAAATAATCGTTTTTTTTATCGATCAAAATTCCTGCCTATACAATACAAAGTTGCCGAGGAAAAGAAATGATAAAGAAATCTTTTGAAGCAGAAGAGTTAATTTAAACTCAACAGAATCTCTTGCTATTGGACGAAAACAAAATACTAACAACGATTCCCCCCCCCCAGTGGCACAGCGGTATGTCTGCGAACTTATAGCGCCAAAAACCGGGTTTCGATACCCATGGTGGGCAGAGCACAGATAGCCAAAACTACACCGATTTGACAACGAAAATCACTTATAAATTAATTCAGGAATGAGGTGTTTGAAAGAGTATAGAACAGCTAATGAAGTATTTTTATTTTACGTCAGGCTCTTTTGAAATTAGATCAGAGAAAAAATTTTGTTTTAAATTACCTAGGATAAACACTTGAAAAGCAATTGTCATTCGTTGAGCTCCTAAAAGTAATTGTAGTTAAATCAATATGTGGTGATATAGACTAAATTCGTATCATATAATTCATTTTTTTTAATTGGAAAAGCCTGTATAAAATAAATCCTAAGATCACATTTACAATTATACCCACTAACCATGCAATAAATGGAATATATTTACATTAATACCATTCCTTTAGGTGTTGATAAGTATATATTGTTATTACCCGTTTCGAAACAGTATGTAATGATATTGTACATATTATTTCTGTTTAACATATTTCTTGTAGTTTTGATAACTGTTTAATTGTTGTTTATTTGTTTTGCTTTTAATACTAGCTTAGTAGGCTTTTTACGTATGAAAAATATTTTATTCTTTTTATCTTTTTTTGTAAGTGCGAAAACATTGTATAAACTATAAAAACTAAACCAGCCATGTCCCAAATACGTAAGTAAGATGTATCTTATTTGAGAACATCTACATTATTTATCTGATTATATAAATGTTGTAGTTGTTACAACTTCTGCTGCTAGACAATATGTAGCATAGTTTAACTTTCGATTGTTGCCTAACGTCCTTGTTATGGTAATCGAGACAATATGTAGCATAGTTTAACTTTCGGTTGTTTCCTAACGTCCTTGTTATGGTAATCGAGACAATATGTAGCATAGTTTAACTTTCGATTGTTGCCTAACGTCCTTGTTATGGTAATCGAGACAATATGTAGCATAGTTTAACTTTCGATTGTTGCCTAACGTCCTTGTTATGGTAATCGAGACAATATGTAGCATAGTTTAACTTTCGATTGTTGCCTAACGTCCTTGTTATGGTAATCGAGACAATATGTAGCATAGTTTAACTTTCGATTGTTGC